AGTGTTCGGGCTATAAAATTGTTATCAACCTGATTTGATTGACGAATCTTCAAAATTTGGAATGCGTACCATCGAACTTATCCGATAGGCTAACTCGGGGCTCCTTATGTTGTAGAACCAGCGGTGCTTGTCAAACCTAAGGCAAAGTTGCTTCTCCAAGTGCAGAAGTTTGAGGCTGGTACAACCTAGATTGTGCCATCCTAGATGCTCCATCATTATGAAGCCTTGCCACGACTCCTTCAATCTCTGCAGTTCTTTGCGATAACGTAGCGAGGGCATTCATGATAGCATCTACCTTGGACTCCAAACTTTCCGTCATACTAATGTCTTGACCTCCGGCCATTCTAAGAGAAGGACAGAAATGACTCTACAAGTAGACAATATTGGTTTAGAAGAGGGTACTCCGCAACCTCTAAAATGCCTTAAGAGCTTCAAGAAAAAGGTAATCCACTCTCTCCAAGAAGAATAAGACTACAATACTGTAACAAAAGAAATATCAGTTTGGACGAGGGTAATCCGCAACCTCTAAAATGCTACTATACTTCCAAGCAGAGGGGTAATCCGCACTCTAACAAAGAAGAAACTAACTCTGATATCTGACGTGAGTGAAGTCCCGACAAACTGTCAAGGACACAAAAATATAGACTCGAGATCTAATAAGAAGTTCAAGAAGAACTGGCAAGAACTAGATTAATCAGATGAAAACAACACCAGAGAGGTGAGCTAGAGCTCCAAGAGATGTGTTGTCGAGACTGAAGAACTCTTCAGCCTTAATTCCAATATATACTCCTATTTAGGAAGCTTCTCAAGTAACTTCTACCAACTAGGAAGCTTCTAGAAGGTTCCAGAGACTTGCTTCTAGAAGGTTCTAGAAACTTATCTCTAGAAGGTTCTAAGGACTATGTCCCTAACATCTTCTACCAAGTAAGAAGCTTCTAGAAGGTTCGAAAGACTTGCTTCTAGAAAGTTCTAGAAACTTGTCTCTAGAAAGATCTAGAAATTTGTCTCTAGAAGGTTCTAAGGACTATGTTCCTAACATGCTGAAACTTCACTTTGGAGCTCCTTTTCTTTCTTCTTGGTTACTTCATGGGCAAGTCTTGCTGTCACATAGTCCATTGTATGTTCTGTTAGCTTGATGAACTCCAATGCTACAATAAGGTAGTTGTAGGATTTGAGAAGAGTCATTAGTAAGGTCATGACAATATCACTTTCTTCTAAAGGCTTGTCAACAATTGCTAATTGGTTTGCAAGAGCCTTTACCTTATTGATATGAGCCATGAAGTCTTCACCTTCTTCCATCTTGCAAGTAAAGAACTTCCTCCTTATATAAATGATGTTGGATAAGTTCTTGCTCTCATAGATATTGCAAAGAGTCTTCCATGCTTCCGCTGGTCCTTTATAAGAGATAATGTAAGAGAAGTTGGCTTCATCCACATTTATTGCAATCAATCCAAAAGCCTTCTTTTCACAACGCTTGAACTCCTTCTTCTCTTTCATATCAGCATCTTTGCTTGGAGCCTCTTCACTTTCATCTACAATATCCCAAAGATCCAAAGATGCCAACAAAAGCTCCATTTTGACCTTTCAATGGTAGAAATTTTCACCTCTAAACTTCTCAATAACTCTCAAGCCTTCACCCTCACTTGAAGCCATGTCTAAGGCAGAGTTGTATCATTAAAGGTTGTAAGAGGAAGTCCTAATGCTCTTAAAATCAGCAAGAAGGTTTAGTTGCCTTAGAATCACAGAATCCTTCTTGGTGAACAAACTAGTATTTTTACTCTCAAAAACACTCTCAACTTCACTTCTAAGGCTTCTCACAAGTCTGGTGACCTTTCCAAATCTAAATTATCACTCTAATATCTCTCTTATATTCACAAGTCACCTCTATATATCAAAAGAGGTGTATAAAGCAAAATAAGCAACTTTATGTGATAAATCAGCCATCAACACAAAAATGCTCTTAACTACAAGTAAGTTCAAACCAAGATCTAGATCTAGATCTGAATCTGAAAGTTAGGTACTTTTAATGCCTAACATCAACAACAACAATTTCATCTACTCCACACTTACAAAATAAAATACTTCAAAGACTTCAAAAGACACTCAAGAAAATGTGAGTGGGCCAATAACCTATTGAAGAAAAAGAAGTCAAAAGGCTACAAACACTTAGCATCAGCAAGGATTGTACTCTAATAGAAGTGTGGAGGAAGATGATTCTTCCTTCCAACACTCTTTACTTATAAAAGGTGGTTTGCTTACCAACGAGGCAACTTCCATCCATTTGATATTACATCTGTTTCTACCTCTTCTTAGTAAAGCCTCGGTACCACCATAATAACTTACTTTACTTCTTTACTGCCTTTTTACTATTAGCAACATACTATGCTTAAACTTTATGTAGTTGTAACTAAGCAAGTACTAGCTATTCTTCAACAAGGAAAGGGAAAGGAAAGCAGGATCCGTGTAAAAAATAGTAAGAAGCTAAAAGACTAGAAGTAAATATATATATATATATATATATATATATATATATTTATCTGTGGCATTACATATCTTAAAAATACTTAAATAAAATAAAATTTTAAATATATTTTTTATATTTTTAAAAAAATTAGCTATCAATTTAAATAATTCTACAATAGAAATTAGATTTTTCAAGAAAAAATTAAAAGCATACAGAAAGATTTTATTTCCGCTACTAAAATTAATATAATCTGATCCTTTTATGGAAAAAATAAAATGTTATTTAAATTTTATTTCTAAATATTTAATTTCTATGAATTTAAATTACCAAAAAGTTAATAAAAAGATAAATATAATTATTAGCTATAAAAATATTTATTAATTGTATATTTATCTTACTTTTATTATTATATTTGAAACTTTTATATTAAAAAATTTAGAACAATTCATTAAAAAGTCAAAAAACTAATGGCTTTTAAAAAATTATAAAAATAATAAATATATTTTTATAAACATATCAGCTAAGTCTTATATAACATTCCTAAAAATATATTTGAATTTCTAAATTTTATGTTACATATTAAAATCAAATATAATAGATTTTTCTACACCATTGAATTGATTAAAACTAATACAATAGCTTGCAATCTAATATTTCATATAATCAATTCTTTTTGCTAAATTCTTTATTTAAACTTTTAATGTAAATTCTTTAAACTTAGAATAAAGATGATTGTATTTATAGTATATCAAATAACGTTTTTATTTTACTTCTGATATATTTTCTAATATATATTTATATATATTTTAATTTTATTTAAAAAATTCTAATACATTATATTATATTATATATTTCTATTATATTTTTGATTTAAGATATATCCAATTGTTGACATTTACTAAAATTGGAGTAGAATTGATTAAAAAAATAATATAAGTATAACCTCTATATCTTAATTTGATAAGAAAATAAAGATATATATATATATATATATATATATATAGATAATAAATTAACATAAAACCCAAAAGTCTTAAGATCACTGAAATTTATTTCAATTTTTATAAATATTATAAAAAAATAAATCAATTTTTATTTTAAGTAATTAATTTTTTATATTTATGTGATTATATTCACTTCAGCATAAAATCTTGAATTGAAATCATTAAGTTGATAAGTTTTATTATAAAAATTATATATTTCTTTAGTTTAAAAAAATTTGATGTATAAATTTATATAAGTGTATTTCAATATACATTCAAGTTAACTATGCAACCAAATAAAATTTTATAACCTAATAAATAAAAAATTAAATTATAAATATTTCTTATGTTGTAGCTTTTTCTTAAATACATTTTAAAAAATATAAATCTTTGCTAATTTTATTACAAATTTTTTTCTTTCAAAAAATACAAGACTTAATAGCACAACTAGTGTGATTTTTTGATTTATCTTAAGATGTGATTGAAATCTAACATCATAATAATATTTTATGTTTATATTAAATTTTAATCTAAAAATCTACAAGCAAAAGAGTTTTTATGAATTTCTTCCTATATAAGATTATAAATGATTAGTAAAAAAAATAACTTCCAAAAAATTAAACACTCATTTTAAATTTAATTTAAATCTACTTGAATTTTTTAGTTAAATGTATAAACTTTATTTCAAAAAAAGATAGTTTATGAATATATATATATATATATATATATATATATCATTTCTGAAAGTTAGCCATTATCATAATTTATTTTCCAACTATCAGACTTCAAACTTTTATAATAAATCAATAATTTATGTAATTCCTCATATTATATTTTCAATAATATTACTACTAAAACTTAGTAATTTTATATATTAATTTTTTTTTGCATACAGCATATTTACAAATTTAATATTTAGTATTCAATATTTTTTGTTTTTATTGACTTTCATTCAATACTTTGTATTGACATTAATCATTCAATCTTCATAAAATTCTTGATTAATTTAAGATCCTATTATTTATTTATGACTAATTTCTAAATATAAAAAAATGTTACTTTAGAACCTAATTACATTTAGGGATGTCACTACTTCTTTAATACTTAATATAGATAAATGAAATGTAAACATATTTCATATTATTTTTATTGTCTTTGAGATCTTTCAATATATAAATATATGCATAATTAAATAACTATTCAACATGTTTTAAAAGTAATATCTTTTGATATCTTTAGAATTATTATAAAATAAAGATATAAAAATATAATTTTGTAATATTATAATTTATTATAATCCTTTTATATGCATTTTGCAAAGACTTTATGCATAATAAATTTATTCAAAAAAAAATCAAATAGATTTTTTCTCATCTATATGATGGTACCAAAACAATGTTAACCAAGTGTAGATGAAACATTTAACTACTTAGTATTGTATGTTTGTGGTTCACATTGTAAATCCAACTTATTGAAATTTATCTAACTAAGTATAAAAATTGAAGAAAATAATGAAGAATTTCCGAGTGAAATAATTATCCATAAGAATTTGATAATATATAAGCATTCTTTTATTGATTATTCAATTCATAAAAAATAATTCTTCAATAAACGAATTGATAAACTAGATGCTTTTGATTATTATACGTTTGGATTCAGTATGTCGAATCAGTAGAGTTGTTTAGGCGATGCAGGGGTCACTGCAATGAACTGACATGAAAGTTGGACTTATCACTTGGGAAACAAGTGTAAATCGGCACTGCGAGATATTATGAGAAACCGCTGAGTCCATAATACATGCATCTCTCCTAGCAATACCTTCAATCAACAAAATAGAAAATAAATTTGATGGTTTGCATCTTGGTGTAACAATACATCCCTTAAATAAGGTAAAAAATTGTAGCATAGCAATTAATACAGTCAAACAAGTCGAGAATCCACCAAGCCACAAAGAAGAGAACATCGCGTTTCACAGAGATTTAACTGAAAATGGCACTGTCAAGAGGCATTCCAATTTGTGTTTAGAAGGGCTGTGGCTGCTGGGTCTGAGTAAGAGCAACAGTGAACGGCTTGTGTAGAGAACACAACTCCATAACCCATACCTGTCAGCAGAAAGTTGAAACTAAGTTGACAAAAGTGCTTATCCCAGTTGCTGGAGCTTGCGAAGATCTGTACTGATGTCCTGCAACGTTTCGTCGTCAAGTCCCTTGATGTCCACCCATTCCATACCATCAAACTTATTATGAGGATTAGGGCCTCCTAACTCAGGCAGGACAAATGAAGTATCTGAGATATCATCACGGTCTTGCTTGTCTACCCCAGAGATGGGCGGTGGAACTGCGTATCCATTTGGAGGAGCGTTCCGCATGCGAAATAAGTTCAACCCGCTTATTATAGGCGTCTTTGTTTCTAACAGACAACAGTCAAGTATGAGAACCCAGTGACCACGTTCAGTTTTGAGACACAAGGACGTACCTTCAATTCCTCAGAATGTATTTGCCCATTAGTTCACTCACATTTACGGACAATAAGATACCTTACATGTAGTTTTTTGTTGCCATCAACTAGAAGACAATTCATTGATAAAGTAATTAGTTGTTCTTTGCCATGCTTTTCAATGATAATTCACAACGATAAACTCAATTACGAACTTCACAATCACAGTGTATAGATGAGCGTGTGTACCTGATGTAGAACTAGGGTTCTCTCGATTGAAAGAATTCTTTTTAATTCCGCGCAGACAACAACTAAGCATGACAATGGAAGCAACTAAGATTCCTCCAAGAGCGGAACCTACGGCAATACCAGCCACCGCTCTACCGCTTAATCCCCTATTATCTGCATCAATTGTGCCATTATCTTGGGCCAATGCCACTCTGACTACTGGCAATGGTGGATTTGAAGGAACCTTGACAAGCAACGCCAAATCGTGGCCTCGTAACAATATGGCAGCTTGGCTACATCCCAACCACAGAAATGTCAAAACCAGCTTTGCAAATACTCTTCCCTTGCAGCTTTCGTGCCGCAGCATTTTGAAGTGGCATGGAGGAGTTTTTAGGAGAAAGCCACCTTCTCAATCGAACCCTTGAAATCACCTGTTTATGAAGAAATTATTGGTCAGAAGTTTGTCAGTATATAACCGTTTGGACGTCCTTTCTACAATTACACTCACTCAAAACAATCCCTCAGACTACGAAAGCTAGAGGTTGAAGAGTTCCAAGATATAAAGCATGGAAACTTTAACATTCTGCTAAGCGGTGTGTTTGAACTTCCCAGGAGAACAGAACATGATGTATTTCCGGACTGAAGTATTGACCAGAAATGCCAGTATTGCAGTAACAAGGAGCACAAAAAATAGTTTAGAATGCTAGTAGCAGTTGATCATACTCTTGGTTACAAATAAATAAAACTGTAAGCACTAAGAAACTTCAAACCTAATACTCCCGATCAAGTATGGAGCGATTGAATCATCCTCTCATTGTCCTTTCATCGAAATGAATCTCCTCAGTCGCAACCTGAACACGTATGAGATGGATACCAGGCGCAATCGAACACGAAAAACAAACTGGTCACTGTACCTACGGCAGATTTGGTGTATGTACTCACCAACACAAAAATGTATCGCTTACTGAAACTCTTCCGCATTGACCATTACTCACAAGGTTCTGCGATCAATGTTTGAAAGAAACGCAGAACGCCGTTACTGGGCACAGAACCCCTCCAGACCCTCTCCTGTACTTCCACACTGTTAGCTACAGCTAAGGGGGGGCATGAGGAAGGGGGGGATGAGAAGTGGTGGCACTCATGGGAATTTATTTGAAGGTGTCCAGCGCTGGGGGGCGAGGCTGCGTCATTGCAGTGGAGGGGGAAAGGGGAAGGGAGAGGGGAGGGGGAGTGGAAAGCCCGACAGACAGACAGACACTCTCCTACTGCACTGAGCGAGCCCAGGGATACTTGCTTACTTGAGAGTAGTAGTCAGTCAGACAGGGTCTCCTTTTCTTTCTTTTTTTTTTTTTTTTTTTTTTTTTCTTTTATTATTGCTCCTCATTCCTGGTCAATCCCCCCCCCCCTCCAAAGAGTTGTTGCCCTTGAGGAGGGAAGGGGGACTAACGGACCAAGCATCCCACTCCTCATGTGAACTGCTCCCGTTTGATGATAAGTTTTCATCTCTTTGCCATGGATCACATTTTCAAACGTCCATTTTATCAAGGACAAAACTTCTAAGTTTTTAGTTGGTGGAATAATATTTTAAACATGTTCATTGTCCTTACAATATTTTATTATTTTTTAAGTACAAATCTTAGCATATTGAGTTTTTTGTCCATCCATTAAATTTCTTGCAAGCAAAATATATAAGATTATATTAAAAACTAAAATTTTATAATATTTAAAATTATAGCACCATTTAAATTTAGAAAGATTGATGATTATTTTGATACCAAATAAATGTAATAAAGACATATTAATAGGTAGATTTAGAATATAAGATAAGATCTAGTTGAGATAAGATAAGATCTTTGTGTGATATAATAGTATTTGATTTTGATATGATAGGATCTTATATTGAAGAAATAGAACTTTGAAGTCACAACACATAGCATTAGTAAGGTTATACATAAAGAGAGTATGGAGTAAGATATCTCTCTTTTCCATCACCCAATACTTATAGGTTGTAGTTGTTGTCCTACAAGACAACTTCTACTCTTTGACTTTTATACACATGATACTTAGTCATAGGATCCTTTGGCATCTAATGTACTTTAAGGATATCCTATGGTCTTTGGATCCTTTGGCATCTAACGTACCTCAAGGATATCCTATGGTCCTTAAATCCTTTAGCATCTAACGTACTTTGAAGATATTCTATGGTCCTTGGATCCTTTGGCATCTTACTAACCTAAAGGGTATCCTATGCCAAACACTAATTATTTCTTAGTTCATACTTTATCTTCTTAACTTTGACTCTTGATCTTTGACTTCGTCCTATATCCATAGGATGTTCTTTTCATATATCAAGAGTCAATCCTTTGATGATTAGTAACTTATCTAAGGTAATATCTTTTACTATATAATTTATTCTATTTTTACTTACTTATTTCAAGACTTCCACTTTGCTAGTGATCAAGGGGCTTTCAATCCTAAAACCTTTCTTAACATGTGATGTCTATCCTTTACTAATATATTTGTCAACAAATCAACAAGCATGTCTTGCATTGCGTAATATTTCATATCAATTACTCCCATTTTTTTTGTATAAAGAGATGTTGAATGTCAATGTGCTTAGTCCTTGAATGATGCTTTGGATTCTTTACAAAGATAAGACATTTTTAATTATCACACTTCATTAGAATTGCTTCTATTTACACTACTCCAATGTCTTTCAAAAGTTGTCTTAGCCATATTGCTTCCATTGCACTATGACTTACTGCCATGTAATCTGCCTCTATTGTTGACCTTACAATTGTTGGTTGTCTCTTACAATTCCATGAAATTGCTCCCATTTCAACAAAGTATACATATCCCATTGTTGACCTTCTATCATTTGCATCTCCAATCCAATCCACATCACAATAACCATGTATAGTAATGTTATGACCTCCAAGACATAATTTGAAGTTCAAAGTATCTTTTAAGTACCTCATGATTCTTTTAATGGTTGCCCAATGGATTGGTCCAACCTTTGACATGTGTTGGCTCACAACACTCACTACATTTGCAAGATCCACCCTTGTGCCAACCATTGCATACAATAAAGAGCCCACTGTTGCCTTGTATGAAATACCTTACATTTGTCTTTCAACTTCAGTAAACTCTTCTTCCGTAAGCTTCATCAACTTCAAATTGGCTTCCAAAGGTGTTCCTATAGGCTTAGACTATTTTATGTTGAATCATTTCAATACTTCTTCAATGTACTTATTTTGGCTTATTATAATAGTCTTCTTAGCACAATCTCTCACAAACTCTACTCCTAAATAATAGTGAAGCTCTTCCAAATCACTCATCTCATACTCTTTTTTTAACTTTATCTTCAACTAATCTATCATCTTTATAGCATTAGTTGAGATAATCAAATCATCAATATAGAGGATGACAATCAATATGAATTCATTTGATTGCATCACATACAATGAATGATCAACTTCACTCGTTTCAAACTCTTCATTCACAAAGAATATATCAATATGTTAGTACCATGCTCTTGGAGATTGCTTGATCCCATACAAGCATTTCTTCAACTTACAAACAAGGTCTTGTTTGCCATCTTCAACAAATCCTTGAGGTTAATCAATGTAAATGTCTTCTTTTAACTTTTTATTCAAAAAAGCCGTTTTCACATTCATTTGATGCATCTCCAAGTCCATTGTTGCCCCAATTGCCACAATGATTCTAATTGTCGTGAATTTGGCCATGAGAGCAAATGTCTCATTGAAATCAACTCCAGCAACTTCTGAGTATTTTTTAGCAATCAACTTAGCCTTTTATCTTACAATATTGCCCATTACATCTCTTTTGATTCTAAACACCTACTTATAACCAATTGAAGATCAATTTGATGGAAGTTTAGTCAATTTTTATGTTCCATTTTTTATGAGTGATTTGTATTCTTCTTCCATAATATTCTTCCACTTCATAGCATCCATGGACTTCATTGCATCACATAAACTCAAGGGATTAATAAAGAGTATACCATTAGCATGTTCTTTACTTACTTCAAAAAAAATATGGTTCTTTCACTATGCATTAAGTTGTTTTCGATCTCTTAAAAGATATTTCCTTTTACTTGATGAAGATTCACCTTCATGCTTTCCAATAGCTCTTATAATCTTCTTTTTTCTTAAAACTTGTCTCTTTATACTTAAAGGTTGATATTCCTCATCACCATCATGATCTTCAATATGTTAATTATCTTCATTGCTAGTTTTAGCAATTATAGGCATCTTATGATCTACCTTCTTTGGTTCTTCATCTTAATTTGAAATTCTACTATCTTGACTATCATCATCTTTTTCTTCTTTCATTACTAGATTTAAAGATGTGTCTCCAAACACACCATTACTGCCACTTGGACACATCTCTGAGTGCTCACAAGCACTCTTGTGCTTCAAAAATTCTACATCACGACTTTTAATGATTTTCTTGGTTTCTAAATACATGAGCATATATGCTTTGGTACCTTCATAATACTCAACAAATATATATTTTGTTTCTTTTGCATCAAGTTTGGACTTCATCCAATCTGATTTTTTTGCATAAGCAATGCTTCCAAAGATCCTCATGTATGAAACTCAAGGTTTTTTGCCACTAAAATCTTCTTGTAGAATCATTGATGTGAGTGCACTTGTTGGACATCTATCCCTTGTATGCACTATATTGACCACAGCTTCTATCTAATATTCATGCCCAAGGATTTGTGCATGAAGCATACTTCTTATCATCTCCACAATAGTACAATTTACTCTTTTAGCAACTCCATTTTGTTGTGGAGTATAAGGAATTGAGGTTTGTCTTACAATGCCTTGATTTCTCAAAAATTCATCAAAATGCTTTGACATGTATTCACTTCTATTGTCTGTGTGCAACACTTTTATCTTCCACTTACATTACTTCTCTACAAGTGCCTTGAATTCTTTAAACCTTGAGAAACACTTACTCTTGGCTTTAATGATGTATATCCACACCTTTCTTGAGAAATCATCAATAAATGTCACAAAGTACCTTACTCCTCTTTTTGATGGTGTCTTCATTGGTCCATAAACATCAAAATGAACTATCTCCAATAATTTGCTTATACATGTTGTAATTCCACTTAGAAATGAAGCTCTTTGTTGTTTGCCTTGGATATAACCTTCACAAATAAGTATCATAGCATTGTAGCTGAATTGACCAAGATCTTAGCCACTTACCTTATATTAGAGCTCTTTGATGCTTTTGGTATTCAAATGATCAAGTCATTGATGCCAAATGCCAAACTTGTCCTGATTTTGTAGAAAAACAGTATATTCTACTATTTCAATTCCATTCACCTTCTTATAATTGATGAAGTAGAGGTTGCCATCTCTAAGGCCTTTTATAACATGTTATCTACTCAATGTCTTTACAAAACACCTATCCATGTCAAATTAAATTTTATAACCATGTGATAGAAGTTTGCTCACCGATAGAAGGTTCTTTTTCATCTTTGGAACATGTAAGACTTCTTTCAATCTAATCCTTATGATTTGGTCCTTCACCACAATCTCTACCATAATGGAACCAATCCCAATAACTTGTACCATGTCATTATTTCTCAACCATACTTTTGTTGCTGAAATTGCTTCATAAGTGTCAAATAAAAACTAATATGGTGTCATGTGTTTAGTAGCACCAAAATCTATAATCGACTTAGACATGGCAATTAAAAGGCTCTTACACTTACTATGAAAGCATAATCATTTCTTCTAAAACTATCATTAGCATTGTTTGCATTTTTCATATCTCTTCTATTAGCCTTGTACTAATTTTTAGCAAAATGACCTGATTTTCTATAAATATAGTAATTTTTTATGTTACTTTTTGAATTATCATGTTGGTGTAGAAAGTTATCTTTGCCTTATGTTAAGAATAGAGCCAAATCATTACTTTGAAGCTCATTTTCTTTCTTTTTAGTTATTTCATGTACAAGTCTTGATGTGACATAGTTCATGGTAAGTTCAATCATGTTGATAGACTCCAATGCCATAATGAGGTAGTTATATGACTCAAAAAGACTCATGAACAATATCAATACAATTTCTCTATCATCAACTAGCATGTCAATAATTGCTAGTTGGTTTGCAAGTGCTTTTATCTTATTGACATGAGCTATGAGGTGATGTCCTTC